GCAGGCGGCCCAGTGTTTCGTCGGTTCGAATCCTGGGCGCGGACATGGCACTGCTCGTCAGACCACGCTGAGGCAGCGTCCCACATGCCACAACTAGAGGAACCCACAACGAAGAATACACAACTATGTACCGGGGGGCTTTGGGGAGAAAAAGGAAAAAATAAAATCTTTAAAAAAAAAAAAAAAAACTGAGCAAAGAAACTGAATATTTTTCCAAAGAAGACATACAAGTGGCCAATACGTATATAAAAAGGTGCTCAACACCACTAATGATCAGGGAAATGCAAATCAAAACTGCAATAAGATATTACATACCTGTTATTATTTGGTAATAGATAGCTATTACCAAAAGACAAGAGCTACCAGGTGTTGGCAAGAGTGTTAAGAAAAGGGAACCCTTGTACACCATTGGTGGGAATGTAAATTCGTACAGTCATTATGGAAAACAGTTTGGAGGTTCCTCAAAAAATTAAAACTAGAACTAACACATGATTCATCAATGTCACTTTTGAGTACATAGCCAAAGGAAATGAAATCAGTATCTCAAAGGAAGGCCTGCACTCCTATGTTCACTGCAACATCATTCACAATAGCCAAGATGTGCTAACAACTCAAATGTTCATCAGCAGATAAGTGGACAAAGAAAATGTGGTATATAGATACAATGGAATATTATTTAGCCTTAAAATGAAAGAAATCTTGTCATATGGGATAACATGGGTGAACCTAGGAGACATTATTCTAAATGAAATATGCCACTCACAGAAGGATACATACTGCATATTCCCACCTATGTGAGGTATCTGAAGGTAGCCAAACACATAGAAACACAGAATAGAATTGTGGTGGCCGTGGGCTGGGGGTAGTGAGAAATGAAAAGTTGCTGTTCAACTGGTACAGCTTCAGCTACGCAAGATGGATAAGTTCTAGGGATCTGCTGTAAAACATCATGCCTATATTCAACGATACTGATTATGCACTTAAAAATTTGTTAAAAGCGTAGTTCTCATGTTAAGTGTTCTTATCACGACAAGAAAAAAGTTGATTTTCTTGCTCTCTCCCCAAGTAGAGAGTAAGCTGATTAAGTGCAAGTATTTGGAAAAGATAACTCTTGTATACTGTTGGTGGGAACGTAAATTGGTTCAGTCACTATGAAAATTCCTCAAAAGATTAAAAATAGAACTACCATATGATTCAGGAATGCCACTTCTGGGTATATATCCAAAGGAATTGAAATCAGGATCTTGAAGAGATATCTGCACTCCCATGTTCATTTTAGCATTATTCACAATAGATAAGACATGGAAGCAACTTAAAGGTGTCCATTCATGGTGGAGTGGATTAAAAAAGATATGGTGTATGCATACAATGGAGTATTATTCAATCTTCAAAAGAAGAAAACCTTGCTGTATTCAACAACAGAGATGAACCTAGAGGACATTATGCTAAGTGAAATAAGCCAGACACAGAAGGACAAATACATGATACCACTTATACGAAGAATCTAAAATAGTCAAACTGAGAGAAGCAGAACAGAATGATGGTTGCCAGGGGCTGGGAGGAGGGGTAATGGAGAGGTCTAGGTCAAAAGGAGCAAAGTTTCAGTTATATAAGGTGAATAAATCCCTGAAATGTACTGTATAGCATAAAGCCTACAGTTAACAATACCATATTGGTTAACAATACCACTTAAAAATTTCTGAGGGGGTAGATATTTTGTTAATTGCTCTTGTCACCCCCCCCCAAAAAAAAAGAAAGAAAGAAAGAAGGCAGGAGAAAATTTTTTGGAGGTAATGGATATGTTTATGGCATAGATTGTGACAATGGCTCGCAGGCGTATACTTATCTCAAAACTCATCAAGCTGTATACATTAAATGCACAGCTTTTTGTATTTGAATCATACCTCAATAAAGTGGCTTACAAAAAAGAGCAGATATTTTGTCCTATTTGGAGTTGTAGTCTCAGCACAGTGCCTAGCATACAGTAGACACTTTATAAATATTTAGTCAATAAAGGACAAAAAGAAAGAGTATAAATAAGGAAAAGATTGTCAATTCTTGTTTTGCCTAATTTCTTCTAGTGTTTTTTTCTTGCAAAGTAAAAGTTACATACCTGGATTTGCTTAGATTACTTAGGAATGTAAGAGAAATTAAATCCTAATGAATTAGACATCATACGCACTCTCTTGTTTATTTCTATATCACTAATTGAAAATGAGCTCTTTGGAAGGCTTCATGCTATTACTGGGGATGCTTTCCAAAAAAAACCCAAAACAACAACAACAACAAGATCTAGTTCCTGCCCACTGAATTTTAAAGTCTAGGAGCTGCTATCATATAAAAAAGATGGTGAGATACCCTCTATGACCTAGGGAACAAGTAAAAAGAAGGAGTGAAGAGGGGAGGAGGTTTGAGGTGAAAGCAGTCAAGTGTCAATACCCTGAGGCGAGGCAGTTTGGAGCCTTAGGAACCTGCAAATCCTTCAGTGAGAGGTAATTTTAAGTGAGGTTACGTGGTGGGCTAGATGAGGCTATTGGAATGATGAGCAGGTGCCAGACCCTCAGATGGAGGGCCTCATAGATAAAAGAGACTGCAGTGGAAAATTGTCCTTAACATTCACTTGGTATTGTAGGTAAACCAGAGAAAAACTCCACCCGGGGTAGGAATGGAAGATGTCCTGTGCTCTTGTCTCAGTGCAGTTGAACACAATGCACAGACTAGTTCTGTGTACATCATCATCAGAGAGTTTCTGAGAAATAAGGGTTATACTCCCTTGAGGTGGGATGCCCAGAATCCACTGGACTCGCACTCTTTATCCTGGGTTGGGGAGCCAGAGAACACTCAATTAAAAGTGAACTCAATTAGTTTATCTTGTGTGTAACTTGGCACATTCTAGGCAAGGTCTAGATTTTTGCTGGTGGTTAAATGAATGAAAATAATGGTGATTTAGATGGAAGGGCAGCCAGCTGAGTTAGGAAAGATACTGATCATTGACAAAAATTCTTAGAACTTTTGAGTTGTATCCAAGTGGAAAGACTCCCACAAAGGCACTATACATTTTATCATCTGATGAGGATATGTTACATAATTGTCCTTGCTAAGCAATATTTTGGTTGATTGCGATTTCTTTGTCTTGGAGTTTGGTGATGTGCTCAAGTTCACAGGGCCAGTAAGAGAGCTGGGACTAGACTCCTGGTCTGAATTCCTCTAGAACTCACGCTGTTGGTTCCCCTCCTTCTCTCCCTAAAGCAAACTTTGTGTTCCCTCAATGCCCCCAAAATGTATCTCCAGGGGATAAAAGTAAGGATTTTGTGCCCAAAAGACTGGATTGGAATACGTAGCCACAGCAATTTAAGAATACCACAGCAAGGGGCCGGGCCAGTGGCACAGTGGTTAAGTGCACACATTCTGCTTTGGCAGCCCGGGGGTTTGCCAGTTCGGATACCAGGTGCAGGCATGGCACCGCTTGGCAAGCCATGCTGTGGTAGGCGTCCCACATATAAAGTAGAGGAAGATGGGCACAGATGTTAGCTCAGGGCCAGTCTCCCTCAGCAAAAAGAGGAGTATTGGCAGCAGATGTTAGCTCAAGGCTAATCTTCCTCAAAAAAAAAAAAAAAAAAAGAATACCACAGTAAATTAAAATCATGAATAAAGAAGAGAAACAGATAATATTCAATGACAACATGATCATTTACACATGCAGTGTCAGATCACCTCAAAATCAGACAATCACAAAACCATCCTGGACAGCTCCTTTCCATTAGGAAGTAAATCAATTAAACCAGAAGTCACATAAGAGGCTAACTCTGACTATTGAAAAGAAAAATAGATTGGCATCATTTTTCTCTGACAGTCCACCCCTGTCCTGTGCCTCTAGTCTTATATTGCAGTTTCCCCATCTCACATCAAGTCTGGAACATGTACCTACAAGGTTTGCATTAGGGACACTGCTCAAGAGTTTGTAGGGACGTGGTATTTCCCAGGCATACATTAATTCAAGAGACGGGAGACAAAATGAGGACCCCAAAATATGATGAGTCATTCAAAGATCTTACCAAACTTGCTCTCAGACCTAGAATGCCCAGGCAGGGCCGTCAGACTAGGCAATCCCTCTTATACTCCTCACAGTTCTCAGCGAGGTGAAAAGTCTTGGCCTAAGGAGAGTGGCCTGAGTTCAGTAGAGGGAGGATTCCAGATTGGAGAGATATTAAGTTGAGGACTCTGAATAAGGAATGTGGGGACCACCAACTCCAGAACAGTGATGTTCCATAGGGACTCTACTTTGATGTCACCCTCTCAGGACTCAAATATCCCTGGCCTAATGTGCTTCACTCTAACTTCCACCTGGGAGGTCTCGGGAAAGAAGAGACCTGGATCCAAGCAAAGTAACCTCATGTCAGGGAGAGTAGAGTTCTAGGATTGGCCACGAGCAAAGTGAGATCCCTTAGAGAAGAAAGAGGGGATCACTACACCCACAAATGAGGGGTCTTTTTAGACCCCTGCCCATGTTCTTAACTATGAAAAGCCCAAGCAGAGCTGTAAGGCTTAGAAGCCTCCTCACTTCTGCCTGGCGGGTCTCAGAGAGCTGAGGGCCTTCTCTAGCACAGGACCCGGGGCCCAGTTCTACAGAGGAAGGAATCTTGGCCATAACTGGAGTCAAGGTGAAGACCCTCAGTGCTAATGAGAGGACTCTCTCAAAAGAGGGAGGCACACGTTGTCAGAAGTGATGAGCCCTGACTTCCTCTAGGGACTGAAGAAGGTGCGGGCTTGTTTGGAGGCTGCCGCACTCTGGCCAGAAGCAGGAGTCATCCCGGGCTCCCACTGATACCGAGGTGAGGACCCTGAGTGAGGACGTAGGGACCACCGACTCCTCAACGACAGGGTCCCACAAAGCTCTGTGCCTGCTGTTGCCCCTCGGAGACCCCCCACCCCCACGACACTCCACCCCGCTACGCAGCCGTGGCCGGATGTGACGCACCTTGACTTCCGCACCTTGACTTCCGGTTTGGAGCAAGGACCTCACTGGTGGCTGCCGCAGTTTGTTGGTCTGAGCCTGGGTTCTGGGAACTGAGGTAAGGACCTGAATGTGGACTGAAGAGACCACTCCCTCTCCCGCAACAAGGGTGGCCCCTCCAAGCCCCGCCCCTGTGATCTATGGCAGTGAAAGGTCCAGCAGAGCCATCAGGCTGGGTTCTGCCTAGAAAGTCTCACGGAGGAAAGCCTTGGTCTGAGAGAGTAGCCCTGATTCTGCACATCAAGGAAACGTAGGCCCTCACTAGAGCAAAGGGGAGGGCCATGAGTGCTAATGAGGAGATCGTTCGCCAGTGAAGATAGTAACACAAAGCAGCACTCTAGCTCAATTCTGGGAGGCTCCAGGCATGAGTAGTCGTATATGATGACTTCACCCCTAGGAGCTCAAGAAGTGAGGGCTTTGTTTGGAGGCTAGTGCACTCAGTTCAATAGAAGGAGGAGTTCCAGGCTCTGATAGAAAGGTGAGGACTCTGAGTGAGGACCTAGGAACCACAGACCCCAGAACAGTGGGGTCTCACAGAGCCCGGTCCCTGCTGTCAGCTCTCAGAGACCCTGAGTAGTCACAGCTGAATGTGGCTCCTCCTGACTTCCGCTTCAGAGATCCCAGGAAGCTAGGACTTTCATTGGGAGCAAGGCCTCTGGCCAGCCAAAGGTGCATTCCCGGGCCTGGTATCAAGACGGGTTGGAAGACCTCGAGTAGGGACTAAGGGGACCACTCCAACCTATAACAAAGGGAGCTCCACTAAGTCTCACTGCTGATATCTGCCCTGGGAGGCCCCAGTAGAGCTGTTAGACTGGGTTCTGCCTGGATAGTCTCAGGAAGGGGAGGGCATTGGTCTAAAGCAGTAGCCTGGGTCCAACAGATGCAAGATACCTAGGCCCTAAATGCAGTGAAGTTGAGGGCCCTGAGTGCTAATGAGACCCAAGTAGGGGTGGCAACACAAACCAGCCCCCCGGACTTATTTCTAGGAGGCTCCAGGCAGGAGTAGTCATACAGAGAGGACCCTGACTTTCCCGTCTAGGGACTCAGGGAATTGAGGGCTTTGCTCAGAGGCCAGGCTACCTGGGTTACTGAGGAGAAGAGTCCTCAATCCTACCCAGAGTTAAGGTCAGAGACCTGAGCGAGGACTAAGGGGAACAACAACTCTAAAAAAGTAGGGTCTCAGAAATTCTGCCCCTTCTCTCAGCCCTGCGGAAACCAGGAATATCTGTCAAGCTGAGGCACCCCCTCATTTCTGTCTGGAGAGTTCCAGAGAGGTGAGGATGTTGGATAATTGAGCAGCCTCAAATCTGCAGAGGGAGGAGACTTAGGAATTCATAGGAATCAGGGTGAGGACTCCGAGTTAAGACTGATGGCACCACTCACCCTAAAAAGAAGGAGACTGCAGAAAGCACCCCCCCCACCTTGCTTGCAGCACTGAGGAAACCAGACATAGAAGTGAGGCATATGTTTCTTTTTTTTTTTTTTTAAGATTTTATTTTTTCCTTTTTCTCCCCAAAGCCCCCCGGTACATAGTTGTATATTCTTTGTTGTGGGTGAGGTGTATGTTTCTTTTTGATGGCATCAGGTTGGTGAGAGCCTTTGTCTGAGGGGAAGGACATCAGATCAGCAGAGGCAAGTATCCCAGGCTCTATGTAGAGCCAAAGCAAGAACTCTGAATGAGGACTGAGGACCCCAAAGAGCCCAAGACAGAGAATCCCATAGCGCTGTCAGCAGTGGATGCCCCCTGGCAGGGGTGGTGGGCTGAGGTACCCTTTCACTTCTTTTTAAGGCATCCCAAGAAGACAAGGACCTGGGTTTGAGATGTAAATTTACAGCAGCACAGAAGAAGGGGCCCAGGCCCTGCAAAAGTTGATATGATGGTCCTGAATGTGAACTGAGAGGACCCCCACACTCCAGAGTAGAGGGGGCTCCACAAGGATTAGACCTGCCCACCACTGCTCTCAGCCCCAGTAAGCACCAGGCAGAGCTGGTAGGCTACAGCCTGAGGCTCCGTTTAATTATTTCCACAGTTTTCTCAGGGGACAGGTTGATCAGAACAGGAGCCTTGTGGGTTCCTAGAGCAGTGCCCTCTGGGAAACCTGAAGAGGCGGCCTTCTTAAAATCAAGCTGTTATCTTCCTGCTGAAGGTGCTCACACTCTCTTATCCTCTCTCCTCTCATGCCCAGATCACCTGTTGTCCTACTCGCACTCCTGCTTGCTGACCCTGATCCACAGTCATCATGTCTCGGGGTCAGAAGCGTAAGCTCCAAACCCATGAGAAACGCCGCCAATCCCAAGGTGGGACCCAGGCACCGAAGGGTGCTCAGGTCACTGCAACCAAGGAGGAAGCATTCCCCTCCTCGTCCCCTCCTCCTTTTGGTGTTATTACTCCTCAGGGAAAGCCTGGTGCTAGGTCACATAGCGCTCTCAAGAAGGCTCAGAAAGCCCTATCCACCACCACTATGTCTGCAGCTGTTTCTCACACAAGATCATATGAAGGAGCCAACCGCAAAACTGCGAAAAAATGCAGTTCCTACCAGGCCCCACTCTCCACTGTGCAGTCTCAAAGAGACCCTCTAACCAAGGTGACCGGTATGTTGGTGCAGTTCCTGCTGCACATGCTCAAAATGAAAAAGCCCATTGTGAAAGCAGATATGCTGAAGGTTGTCGATAAAAAGTACAAAAGTCGCTTCCTTGAGATCCTCAAAAGAGCTTCTTTCAGTATGGAGGTGGTGTTTGGTGTTGACTTAAAGGAAGTCGATTCTGCCAAGCATTCCTACATCCTTGTCAACAAGATGGACCTGCCCAACAATGGGACAGTGAGCTGTGGCAGAGGATTTCCCAAGCCCGGTCTCCTAATGAATCTCCTGGGTGTGATCTTCCTGAAGGGTAACTGCGCCACTGAGGAGGAGATCTGGAAATTCCTGAATCAGATGAGAGTATATGCTGGGAAGAAGCACTTCATATTTGGGGAGCCCAGGAAGCTCATCACCCAAGATTTGGTGAAGCTTAAGTACTTGGAATACCAGCAGGTGCCCAACAGTGATCCTCCACGCTATGAATTCCTGTGGGGCCCAAGGGCCCATGCCGAAACCAGCAAGATGAGAGTCCTGGAGTTTTTGGCCAAGATTAACCATACAGTCCCCAGTGCCTTTGAGTCTTGTTATAAAGAAGCTTTGAGAGATGAGGAAGAGAGAGCCCAAGCCACAGGCGCACTGAGGGCTGACACCGATGCCACCGCCAGTGAATGTTGTGGGCCGTGTCTGGCAGCTCCTCCCACATCTAGTGAAGTTGAGGCAGATTCTTCACTTTGTGGTTGAAGAGAGCAGTCAGTGTTTCAAGTAGTGGAGGGCTGGGTCTGACTGAGGGAACACAGTGTCTGACACCTGTGTGTTCCTGTTCTGTATGGGTAATTTGGAGGTTTATCTGTGTTTTTTGCCATTTTTCAAATGTTGTTACTTCTCAATGAAATTTTATCCAGCATTATAATCTAAGTTTATGAATTATATTGGTCACGCTTATTGTTATTTGTCAAGCTTAAGAGTAGGAGTTTTGCTGTTTTGAAAAACAGTTGGGAGAGCTTTCATCTAATTTAGGAATCTGGTGCAAGTTAACATGGCATTGGGATACGCATTTCCTCGAAAATGTGAAAAAATTAAGCAGTAAAACTATGGAAACAAGACAGAGAGAAAGAGCAAGATGGTCAATATTTGCCTTCCTAATCCCTTTTACTCTGTTTTTATGAAATTATAAATAACAGTATATGCTTGGCTAATTTAAGAATATAGAATTAAATAAAAATAAATTGAACCATGCTCACGGGTTCATTTATTTCGCAGACGTTAATTGAGCATCTACTCTTAGAAGGCTCCATGCTGGCACTGAGAGAGCTGAGAAAAAGAAGACCTAGCCACTGACCATAAAATTATAGAGAAACAGCTATCATAGAAGGAAAATGGCGATATACACTCTAAGACCAAAAGGAGGAACGGAAAGACAGGGTAAGAGAGGAGAGAGGTGGTTGTAGATGAGAGCAGTCAAGTGTAAATTCCCTGAAGCAAGGCAGTGTTGGGCCTTGGGAAAATGTAAGTCCCTCAGTGGGAGGTATTCTAAGTTAGCCGTGTGGTGGGCTAGATGAGGCTGTGATCAGTTTGAGCAGGGGCTAGACCCTCAGCTGGTGGGCCCCTTAGTTGAAAGACCAAGCCTGGAATGGGAAACTGCCCTTAACAGTTACTTTGGGGTCATGGATAAGCCAGAGAGAAATCACCTGGGGCAGGGATGGAGCTGGCCCTGTGCTCTTGTCGCAGTGCAGGTGAACACAGCGTGCAAATTAGATGTTTTGTTCACATCGTCTCCAGGGAGTTTCTGAGACATAAGGGGGCTACGGGTATCCCCTGCTATCTGAAAGTAGAGCATTCCTATGAATCCTTTCATAAGCCGAAGTGACATGAAGTGACATAAAGTGAAGAAGCAATTACCATTAATCAATATGGGGAAAAAATAACCTACCAAATCATACCGAATAACACATCAAACCTAAGATAACACTAACGAATAGTAAAAGCAGGAATGATAAGATAAACACAAAGCCTATATAAAGTAGAAATAATGTATGTACAGTGATGTTTCACTTACCAGAATGGGGAAGACAGCGAGCACACTGGAAGGCTGAGAGGTATTGGTGGGAATGGTGGGGTGTTAGGCTGAGTCATTGGAGGTTGGGGTGGTGGGAAATGCAGGAGCCTGGGCTGTACGAGAGAAAGGAAGATGATCACCTGTTAACTTCTCATCGTCGTCCGAATCCATCAGGGCAGGCAGATCACTAACGTCTACACCTTCTTCTATGTCCGCCTGCCTTGAAGATGAAGCTCGAGGTTCATCTTATGCTGTGGCTGATGTGGAAAGCTTGAAAGATGACAGTATGCTTGACTGCTTAGCCTTTGTAATGGCTCACTGCAAAACAAATGCTGAATGCTATTTTCACGTTTTGCATTTTTTTCGTAAAAGCAAAAACCCTCTTTGGCTTTCTCTTGGTTAGCAAAAACAGGTACTAATGTAGGTCCTTCATAAGAGCAAAGTGGTATAAAGTGAACTTTTGGATTGTGTGGGAAACCTGGACTTCCTTGAGGTGAGAAGCCCAGAATCCACGGGACTGGCACTCTTTGCCCTGGGTTGGGGGAGCCAGAGTCCACTCCATCAAAAAGACATGCAAATTTTGTTATCTTGTATGTAATTTGGCAAATTCTGGCAAGGTCTAGATTTCTGGTGGTGGTTAAACGGATGAAAGTAGAAGTGGTTTAGAAAGAAGAACAGCTGAGACGGTGGTAAGTCTTTGGTCCTTGAAGCATATTTGATGATCTTCGTGTTTCATGCACTGAGGAAGTCTACTGCACGGTGACATTGAACAACATACTCCAGTGGGGAAATATTACTTAGTTTTCCTTGCTGAGCAGCATTTTGCCTGATACAGTTTTCTTTGTCCTAGAGCACTGCATATTTTCTGACATCTCCTGGATGAAAAATTAAATCTTAGTGTAGTGGATTGAAACTCCAGGGGACAAATTAATCATAGTAAGAAGTGGCCGTCTTTAAAGCCTTGGTACAGGCCAGGCAATGTGCCAAGCACTTTACGTGCATTATATACATTCCACTAGTCCCCAAGACACAGCTTATCAAACCCGTCTCACAGGTGAAAAGACTGAGGCTCACAGAGTTTGGTAATGTGATCAATTTCACATGGCTACTAAGTAACAGGTTGAAGCTAGACCCCTGGCCTGAATTAGGCTAAAGCCCTCACTTTTCCACTCCTCCTAGCCTGAGGCCAACCTCGTATTCCTTAATTCATCTTTGTTCTCACTACTCCACAATGGATCTCAAGTGATAAAAAGAAGGACTCCGTGCCCAAAACACTGGTTTGGAATGCATAAGCAGAGCAATAAGCATATCAGAAAAACTGAGAAGTGTGAATAAAGGAGAGAAAGAGATGATACTCGATGACACTATGATCATCAACATATCTAAAGTCAGATAACCTCAAGAGATCAGAGGCTCACAAAATCACTCTGGGCAGCCCCTTCCACATAGAAAGCGAAATCTATTCAAACAGAAGTTACCTAAGAGGCTGTCTGACTAGTGAAAAGAAGGACTAGGTCAACATATTCTTTTCTTTGACAGTATACCTGTCCTGGGGTCTCTGCTTTGTGTTACAGCTTCTGTATCTCATATCTGAAGGGACCCAGCCTCTGAAGGGTTTGCAATAGGGAAACTGGTAAGAGTAAGGTTATCATGCAGATTTAAATCCTTGCCTTGCCCATTGATAAGAGTTTCTAGAGATAAGGTCGTCCCCCCTTCTCCCTGGTACAGAGTTTCCCTTCCAAATGTAAATGTCTCTTAGGAAGGGTAAGTCAATTGCACTTTTCAGAATTTTTCTCATGTCTGCAGTTTTTAAAAGTAACCAGCCCAAAATAATCCTCCTGCCAAAGAGACACATTTTGGGTGGCCAATTCTGATCCCCCACAGTCCTGCCTTTGAAATTTTGAGAAGTTTCACAGTCCAGAAGCTGAGTGGTAGATCGTTCCATTTCATTGAACACATTTCTTAGTCCTGATAGTAAATCAATCCAGTTAAATTCATCTTAGAAGGCAGTGATAAAGTGGCCTCCCAAAGTTAGGCCTATATTGTGGAAGCAAGCAATCAGGTATTTAGTAAGAAGTATTTCTAGGGAAACAAAAAGAAAAACAAGGTTAATGGTTGGAGCAAATTATAAACCAGTTTCTGAGCCCAGGAGAGAGTCAGTCAAGATGATTTTTAGTTGTCAGGGTCAAAGCATCCTTTGCAGCTTGAGATGTCTCTGATGATGTCCTCAGGTATTCAGGTGTCCTTTTGAGTGGCTTACACAGCAACAGGCATGTTATCGTGGTGATCCTGACAAAGTCCATATCAAGTTATCCAGCTTCAGTTTGCAGGGCTTCAGGAACAAGGATGGCTTCAGTTCTCAACGATTTCGAATAAAAATGATGGAAAAAATTGAAAATCTTAGTTTGGAGATTTGTAGCCAGATATTTCAAGAGACTAGAAGAAGTCAGGATCCAGTCCCATTTACAGGCAGAAAGCAAAAACCTCAAAGACAGTCAGCAGAAGGAGGATCTAATAGCCACAAATGTGTATTATGGTTTTTACTGAAACATAATTTTTCTCTCCAAAATCACCCTCATTTTTACCAAAGATAGCTAAATTAAGATGACTGGTTTGCAAAATAAGTCTAGTTTCAAAACATTTGGCCCAATTATTTACATAAGTACAGCAAGAATAGCAATTGATCATAAAGGCTCTTTTAAATCTGCTTTGCTGGAACTTTTTATGAGGAATCTCAGAGTGAACTTTAAAGGCCTCTCGAGGCCAGGAAAGCCACGCCAAGGACTTTGTCATCAGGTTTTGCCTGCAATACCTTAGATTTGGGTGGATTCCTCTCTTGTCTTGGGGTCCCCAAAATGTTTTGAGGTTCCAGCCACCTGCCAGATAAGTGATCTTCCTTACTTACCAGGTAAGATTGCTAGGAAACAAGGCAGCAGGCCAATGTTTCCAAGTGGCTTTATTCCAGAAAGTAACCTTTATTCCTCAACAGCTGTCTTGTCATATCTGAGCCTGTATGTTTCTCTCAAATATGACATTCCAGGGGCCGGCCCCGTGGCCAAGTACTTAAGTGTATGCGCTCCGCTTCAGTGGCCCAGGGTTTTACTGGTTCATATCCTGGGCACGGACATGGCACTGCTCATCAGGCCGTGCTGAGGTGGCATCCCACGTAGCACAACCAGAAGGACCACCACTACAATGTACAACTATGTACTGGGGGCATTGGGGAGAAGAAGAAAGAAAAAAAGTTGGGCAACAGATGTTAGCTCAGGTGCCAATCTTAAAAAAAGAAAAAAAATATGACATTCCAGTCAAAGCCTTGGTAATATAACCAATATTTCCAGCTATGTCCTGTTATAAGGTGAACAGACAGATCCTTATTGAACTTATGCAAATGGCTATATTGCCATGAAAACAATACTCACTCACTAAGAGTTTCCAAATCCTGGAGGGATCAGGTAGGGAGAAAAATAAATAAATGTTTCAATTTGGATTACAAAAGTATAATTTACTGAATTGATATGTCATGGGTAATTTGAAAGAAAAGAGAAAAAGATCTCCGTAAATCTGAAAAAGCAAAGCATCTAAAAAGAAAGCAATATTTCAAACAAAAGTCATAAAAATTTACAACCATCTTCATTAGTTCATTTGGTCCTGTGTAATTGATTCTTGATCTTAATCTTCTGTTAGCAGTTTTATGAGGTCATTAGTTTCTCTGTTAGAGTTCTGTAATTTCTTACCCAGTTTAGTTTTATAATCAGAAATTTATCAGAAGCCTGCATCCTAGAGCAAGTATCAGGGTCCTTTCCACGAAGCTCTCTGAAGATGAGACATATTTGTGAAAGCATCAGATTGAAATAATAACAGTCTATAAATGACAAAAGACTTAAAAATGGCAATTGACAAAGGAACTTGGCTAATTCTGTCACATACAACACTTTAAGATAATAACTAGAATTATGGCTGACAACCAGGACAGATCAGCATTTTAGGTATGTTATAGAATTTTTAAAATTTATCAATAACATTTTTTACCCACATAATGTCATAGGTACCTATGAAACAATGCTCAATTATAACCATAGTAGCAATTAAAGATGTTTAGGCGAATGCAGAAGATTAAATGATTGTAAGAAAAACCTTAGC